GAAAATCGGGAAACAATGCAGGAAAAGTATCGAACTTTCGAAATTATAATCCAAACTTAAACACGTAACACGCGAAACGATTTGACTTTCTACGTAATAAATAGGACAATGAAATTAATAAAAAATCGAAATCGTTTCTCGTCTCGTTTCACACTATTATAAACGAATTTGTATAATCAGATTCATAAAATTTTATCCTTCGTGTTTATTAGATATATCGTTTGTATTCGAACAAATTAATTTAATAATAATAATAATAATAATATAAACAAATTTTTGGAATGAAAAATTTCCGACCAAATTGATATTAATGATATTCGTAGGAAACGTGGTATTTCAACGTCACAGTTGCACGATGCAATCGCAATTTCTACGTGGTAGAAAAGATTCAGAGAATGATTTTTCGCGGTCATATTTTGTCACGGTTCGACGACGGATCTTTCAAGTGACGTAAAACACACACGAGGGAAAGCGGTGGAAAACAAGTCCTCCTAGACTTCTCCTAGACCCTCGTCAACCCGATATTTCTCCTCGAGATCGACTTACAAACACCTTTATGACTTGGTGCAACGGTATGAATTTTCTCTCGTCAGTTTTCGGTGACATTGCATTTTCGTGTTCCTGTTTTAATTTTCGATTTGTAACAAGTCTACTTTTTGTTTTGTTTAAAGTTGAAGCAAGTAATTCCAGCGGTGAAAGTCAAAAAATATAAATTTTATGAACAAATGTGAAGGAGAAAAGCAATTTGATTTTTTAAACATAAGATTATTTTTGATTATTAATTCGTCGTATTTATTAAGCTTGTTCGTCTTAATTCAAACCGAAATTATTAGTGCCTAACTTCATTTTCCAACGAAACTTCTTCTTTTCTGAAAAATTTGCATTCCAATGAATGTCGAATTAAAAAAGGAAAAAAACGCTACGAAATATCTTTCCAAATATTTAAAAATTATTACCATTATTAACACAGGAATAAAATTGATCTTTTCTAAACGTCACGATCATACACTTTGTCTCTTCACACATTCGACGTATATAAAACAGCTTGCACATATTTCTTGTAGTCTTTCTCTACGATCGATCAAAATTATCGTCGAAAGGCCTCTTACGATAAATTAACATGGCAAAACGATTCTCGAAGCAAAAATGGTCGATTCACGCGTGTAACATTCACCTCGGTCGGCTCTCCTCTCTCTCCGTTTTGTTACACGTCGTTGCTCCGCTTCCTCGTTTCTCTTCTTCGCCTCGTAACACGCTTGGCCTCTTATTCCTCTCAAGTGGAGCGCACATCGCGTGGAAACGTCTGGACAATGCAGAAGGAACACGATATATACACATATATATATATATACCGGTCGTCGTGTCAGCAAAGCGATAATTAATGAGCGGGGAACGATTACACGCGTATCGTCGCAATTATTTCTGTCTAAGGTGAAGGGAAACCGATCACCAGACACGATTAAATTATTCGTGTTGGCCGTTTCCACGTCCCGTTTCCACCAACGATGAATTTTTCAACGAGGTAACCGTTTCGCGTGCAAATTTATTTAAATCTTTCTCGAAGATGGAGGGAGAGTTTCGATTCGACGAGAGGATGAAAGGGGGAGGGAATGATATTGGAGTTGCAATTTTTTTGTCAGTTGATTTGACAAGGTTCAAAGGATGCATTCGAAGCATGTTGTTCGAGATAAAATTCTTCTTTTTTTATTATTATTATAAATTGTTCGTAGGATTTGTTTTATCGTTTGTTCGGGATATAAAATATTTTCGATATAAATAATTCGAAATATATCAATGTACGCGAATTATTGATCGAATTTGAGTAAATTACGAGTTGAAAGTAATTTATGAAGTGTTGTTTAATTGTGATAAAATTTCAATTTGAAACGAAAAGGGTAGAAATATGGAAAAATATGGAGAAATCAATAAATATGATACAGGGGCTGTCCACTATTCCTATTAAATTTGATTAATTGTGCCATCATAATCGTGCATACTTCTCCGCCAATATCACTCTCCCCCTCCGCCCATTCGGATGACCTCTTCTTCGAAGAAGCCTCACCATCGATCGATACTCCGTGTAACTCGTGCGGTCACGAATTTTAGAGACTTTAGCCTTGATGGTATTCAAATTAATTACGACGTATAATAACAAATTATATTTCCAAGAAAAATACAAATTTAACTCTCTTCGAAATTATTCAAATTTCCTCTTTTCCTTTTTTTCTTATTTTATATCTCATCAAGCACAAAATATTTGTACGAATAAAAAAAGTAGAACTCTCGGAATATTCTCTGAATTTAGAATTTATTCTCTGTAAAATTTCCAGTTTTTTTTTAAGAAAGACGATATTTTATTTTGACTCGTTTCGATAATTATCGTACCCTTCCTTCTCTCGATCCGTTATCTCGATATTATCTAATACTAAAATCGTGGAATGCGGTCGTTTTGATATTTCTGGTCGCATCAGTTTCCAACCGATTCGTAATTACGAATATTAGGGATCGTGGAAATTCAGACAGTCCGCAATTGGATGATTCGCGCATCGTCGGAACGAGCGGAATTAATCGAGTTCGATGCATGATAAAATTGACTTGCCCGTGAGTTATGTTTGCCTCTGCCCGTGTACACCCGTCACTTGTACACGAGCGCCGATTTTATTGATGCCGATCATTGACGCGAGTATCGATCACGCTTGTCCGATCGTTCGATTAGTTTAACATTGCTCTTTTCGTGACGGGTTTAATGAGATTAAAGTCTAGTAAATCGGAGTTGATTATTTTTAAATAGTTGTTGTTTGTTGCGTGGAGAGACATGGAATAGTTGATGGTTAGTGTAAATATAAATATTTGGTAGTTTAATTTTTTAATTCGAATGAAGCTTGGCATATTCTTAATTTTATATTTCAAGTATCGTATATAATATTTTCACTCGAAGATTGGAAGATTTTCTAAAGTGTATTTTTGTTAAATTTTTGAAATAGCGACACCAAAATTATTAAGATTAAATATTATGATAGCTCACATTTCTTTGTTTCAAAATTAATCGTTTGCAGTCTTGGATTTTTATTTTTCATTTTTCGAAGCTTTGAAAAATACTATTTTTTTAGTTCGATCCAGAAATTTTTGAATAGTTTACCAAAGGAATCTTTTCTTTTGCTACAAAGCCTCGAATAATCCTTTATAGCAATTCATCGTGTATTTTCGTTTTACAATCGAATTCTAAGTTTTAAAATTTCCAGTTTCAACAATGGTTTATTTGAAAATTGCGTTAAATCTTTATAAAATATCATATGAACATTTCCATCGAACGAAGATAAATTTCGTCGGAAATTCAAATAACGATGAATCATATAATGTATATTAAACACTCATAAATATAAAATTATATAGAAACGAGTGAAAATTACATCGATCTCTTAAAATTTTAATACTTTTCTTATTTTCCATTGAAGAACAACAATTCGAAAGAAGTAATATTTTAATCGAAATTACTCCAATCAAAGTCACTCGAGAGTAACTCGAACGAGATTTTCCAGATTTTCATCGTGCCTTTTTTTTTTTCTCGTTTCTGTTTTCTCCGAAGGAAAGTAAGCATCTGACACGTGTGATGTATCAGTCACGAGGCTGTTTCCTCGACGAGAGGCTGGCAATTAAGTTGCCAGCAATGGAAGTAACCCTCCTTTTTTTCCTGTCGATGGATGAACACGTGGGACAATCTTCCAGGAAGTATTTCGACCAGGACAGCCTTGTCCAAGATGGCCTTTCCTTCCTGATAGCTTTGACTTAGTTACATAAGACAGAGGCGGATGCACCCTGCTTTCTCTTTTTTTTTTTCCTCGATATATACTTAAGTCAGTATATTTACACCACGAGGAAACATAGGTTGATGGTTAAATTATACTACTTCTATGAATCATTGAAAAGTTAAACATCGGTCAGTGTGTATTTTTCTTCGATTTTTTTGAGTCTATCTTCGACTTATCATTTTTTGATAAATTCGATTTTAGTTTGAAGTATACGCGTAGTTGAATCGTATTAAATTATCTCCTCGTTCCATCTTCGACTTAGGTTTCTATTTCGAAATGGACGTAAAAATGTATTTATACGTACGTTGTACGTATGATTCATTGCTTTGATGTAAGCGAAAGTTTCGTTACGCGATATTTTTCTTTTTCTTCAGTGTAGAATCTGAAATGTATGGTAAGAATTGCAGAATATTTCATTTTCTCTTTTCTTTTTTCTTTTCTTCTTTTTTTTTTTTTTTTTTCTTTTTTTGTAATTACTTATAAGTTTCAAGAAGAAAATTTCTACTTTTATTCAACACTTTGTACACTTTCTACGCGTTATTTATTTTCGAGAAAATGCTTTGAAAAACGATTCTAAAGAATTTTATTCAAACTTAAATGGTTAAATTAAATCCATATTTTATAAACTTTCGAAATTCAGATTCAACTTCAATTTTGAATATTCGAACTTGTGGGTATTCAAACATTAAAAATTCAGATCTGATTCGAGTTCAGTTTCAGGTATTCATATTTCACGAACTTTCGGCTCATCTGAAACTTCAATTTCAGGTATCCAAATTTTACATAATTTTGGAATATCAATTTCATCAGACCTCGGTTTCTAATAATTAAATTTGTTAACTGCTCAAATTTTACAAACTTTCAAAATTCTGACTTGATTCAACTCACTATATAAACTTTTAGGATTTTGACTTATTTCGATTTCAAAATATTAACCAAACTTTAATTTCACTTAATGGATATCTATCACTTTACTAATTTTTAATCCAAACTCGAAATCTCGAGTAACTCGCACGTATTTGCTAGATTAAACAATTAAACAATTTTTGGCCTGATTCGGCCTGAACTCGACTTCTTTTTGTTTTCATTTTCAAGAGGGAATTTTGAGCTGTACAAAGGGAGTTAGGATCGATTCATGTTGTTCCCCTCTATCAACCGACAAATTCCCTTTTCGTCGTCGCGGATTAGGGATGGAGATCGAATGTACATCAAGTGGTATTGGTGATGAAATGCTTTTCAGAACCTTTTTTGTGAATATTTTCAAAAAAACAAAAAGGTAACAGGATGGAATCGATGCTTGTGTCCCTTTAACGAGAGATATTGAATGAACAGGGGGATGAAGCGATTCTACGCGCAAAAACGAATTGGAAAATGGAAACCTTTTGACGTAGAATTCTTGTCGCTTTCAGAGGAGATTCGGTTTGAAAATTCGAGCTATTAAGTTTGGTAAAGATTTCTGTTCATTTATTTGTGGTTATTGGTTGAAAAAATGAAGGTTTAAACAATTATTACCCTTTGAGTAGCGATCCGTGCAATTTTCTTTCCAACAATAAATTTCGATTCTGGATCTTTGAACCCGTTATTTTCTCTGTGATAATTTTTTGATGTAACAAAAAATGTTGAGAAAAATTAACGTCTCTACGTTACAATCGTACAATAGAAATGTAGAATTTTAAATTAATTATCGATCATTTCAATGAAGGTATTGAAATAACGGGATTCCTTTTGCTTTCAAAATGGATTCCACACGAGTCCACACGAAAGATTCTTGTTTCACAGATTCACAACGCTCAAAGATTTCACGAGAATCTTTCTCGAGATGATAAATGAAATTTACTCGAAATTTTTCCAAACGAAAATGAATCCATTGAGCTGTCAATAATTAATAAACATTTAATTAATAACGGAGAAATTAACGGGTTAATTAATCGGTGGATGAAAATTTACATGAAGTAGTGGGGGGGGGGGGGAAAGATCGATGCCCATTTGAATTTCTCGATTCTCGTTCGAACGATGATTTTTAATTTCGCGATCCCACCTCTCGTCGATCCTCTTTCTCTCTCTCTCTCTCTCTGTTTCGTCTGCTGCTCAAACAACAGCAGGCTTTCCAAGCTGTTCAATGTTTCATTAGTTTCTGGTGGACGGTCGCGTCTAAATGCGTCTGCCTAGGGGAAAATTTGGTTTTTGTCACGTTGGCCGATTCGTTTGCGAATTCGGCGAAATTGTCTCGATTATTATTACGTTCGCTTATGTATTCATAGATATTTCAGAAGGGTGGAATGAACGAAGCGAGAGTGTTTTGCGAACCCTTGTCTCTGATACTAATAGGATAATACGTCCCAAGGTAATAATAATTTTGGGGGTTGTTACGATTCTTCTGAAGCCTATATTTTGAAAAAAGATCTAAATCTCTTCTCCCACATATATTTAATACATCTCTTTCTTACTGAATTCTTTTTAAATATATTGAAAAATACGAGCTTGTGAATTATTTGTTGTGAATTTCCTAAAATTAATAATATAATTCTAAGAATATAATACCAAATTACCAAAAATCTTGAATCGAACCAATATTACCAATATTCTTCAGATAAATCATTAGAAATAAACCAAGATAATAATATCCTCCCCTCTGATTCAAAATGTCCACAATCTTTTCGATTCACGATCGTTCACGATATCCAATAACAACGAATCTTCTAAAAATTCCAACGATCGAAAAGAGAGTAATCTCCTATCGTTGGAAATCCATCATCAATTAAACGATGATAATGAATAAATTTTCCGACCAACACCGAGTGGCGCACGAAACGCTCGCATTATCGATTTTTCCACCTATTTTTTCCCCCCTTTTCCCCCATAGGAGGGAGAGGAGGAGGAGGAGGAGGTTGGGTCAGTGGCCTGTCAAGGGAGATCTGCCTCTGTTGGAGCACGAAGGCGGATACACCATCAATTCGCCGATGCTCTCCGTAAATATTTGCAACTGGCTGTTCGCTCGTCGGCATTTCAGGGACGCGTAAAAATCGCAACGTAACGCGTGTTACGTAAATATTAGCGCGCATCGAGCCGCGACGAAAGGATTTTTCTGCTACGAAAGCCACCAGATGCCCTTTTGCGATTTCGCTCGAGACGTCGATCGTCTCGTTGCTTGATCCATCTCGACGAATCGTAAATTTGTTGTTTCGAAACGAACCTCGTTTTTTTCCCTTTTAAACTTGACTTTGTTTCTTTTTTTTTTTCAAGATGCTACGCGAGGATGGATCCATTCTGATTTCTTCAACTCAAAGTTTCGTCGAAAGTTGCAATTTTGTCGGTGTCGATTGGAAATTGGTTTAAGCTTTTTTTTTCTTTCTGTCTACGTGGTTTTATTTATATGTAAGTTGGTTCGGTTTATTGAAATTTTTTTTTTTCGTCATTCTACGTTGGATGTACGCGTATATCGGTTAATGTAATTGGAAATTGATTTAAGTTTCTTCCAATAAGTGTATGTTGCATACACGGGATACTGTCTCGTTCATTTATATCTATAATAATTGGATTGATTTATTATTAAATTTTTAATTACTTTTTTTGCGTTGGAGGTTGTAATTCTTGTTGATCGAAATAATTGGAAATATTGTAAATTTAATACGAATTAATTAGAATCGATTTATTTTCGTATATTCTATTATTACAGGTTTTTTCTTCTTCTCTTTTTTTCGATTTTCGTTTGTAATTTTCTTGCCTGAAATAATTAGAAGATATCTAATCGTAAAATTAATTAGATATGAAAAAGCCACGCGTTTTTGTTTCTATTCCCAATTTCGTAAGTTGGTTCAATTCATTATATAATACTTTTAGCAATTGTTCGTATTTGAGGTTGCAATCTTTGCTACTTGAAATAATTGAAAAATAATATAGTATCGTGTTGTTGATCCAGCAGAAGTGATTAGTGTGTCGAAAGTCGTTCGTGTTGCGTAAGTTGAGTTCATAGCGGAAATTAATTAAGTACCTGGCGCGGTTATTTTTTTTTTTCCTTTTCAAACCTTCCTTGGATCACGATTCAAACATACGATCAGTTGTTTATCGAGTCGTTTTATCATCGAATTTTCTACTTACTATAAATCCTTCTTTAAATTTCAAACTTTCTTGATGGATCATTTTAAAGAAAATTTCAAAATTTTTCAACGCGATCCTTGACCCGTTCAATTATTTTTTTATCGTTAAATCCAGTTATCAATCACGTTGTTTCCCATCTCTTTATCTTCATTCAACGATAATTATTAGAGTAACGAGAATCTCAAATTAAAAACACGATTAATATTCCGCTCCTTTTACGTCAAGAGATTTATAAAAAAAAAAATTCAAATTGCACATTATCATATTTCGATTCCAAAATTATATCGCGCGTCTTTTTATTTCGAGATTATTCACAAATATTCGTTATAATTAAAAACTTCGATGTATTTTTCATTACCCATTATTCCCTCCAATTGGCAAATACGAATTACAAATATCGTGCAAATTAATAATTCGAAACGGGGGGGAGAAAGAAGGGGATTGCACGATTTAAACGATTTAAACGTTCGTCTTCGTATTATCATTGAAAATTAATAACGATAATGAAATTCGATTCATTTGGAACGTTATCTCTTTTTACGGCTTTAAAAGTTGTTTCATCGTTATAACACTCGTGAAAATTAACGCTCTTATCTCGCGTGTGAACATTTCGAAAGTAGTTCTCTTCCTTTTTTCACCGACAGAATTTAACGAGACATTCGCGAGTCCGTATTGCCGTTGTAAAATTTTATTCCTCCGTTTCATCGCTCGAGGATGCATCGTTGTAAAAAAAAAAAAGAAAGAAAAAAAGAAAAAATCTGTCGTTTATTTTTTATTCATTAAAAGTTTCGGTCCGTTCAATTATGCGAAAATTAAACGGTTACGGAAGGTGTGTTAATTAATCCTGTGCTTTGAACTGCTGAAATATGGTGGTGAAGGTGTAGAAAAATATCGGAAGAACCAAGCTTTTCCAAAATTTTTCATATTTGTTTTATTATAAACGAATGAGCAATATCTATTTTCCGGTCTTACTCTTAAAAATCCTCGAGCTACGTAACAGATGAGTGTAATTTAAGTTCTTACAGTCATTTATCATTTGTTATTTTATCATTTCGAGTGTAAATAAATTAAAAGTCTTACGTCTATTCTGAAGTAAATTGATATAAATACTTGTCGTTTCATTTTTCATTTTACAACCTAACAAATCTCTCCCAATTGGTATTTACATATGCGTTCGATATACACGACAAACGAATCAGAGAAAAGAAAAAAATTGGAACGATTCTCGAAAACGTCAACGACACTTTACCAAGTTACAACTCGTCACTTTGACCAAATATTCGCGATTCACTCGAGCGAAACCCGTTTCGTTTATCAATTATTAATGTCGCCACTTGGACGCGTGGCGTCGTTAATGCCGTTGCAAACTAACAACCCGGCTTCCTGCAATTTCTCTTTCGCCGCCATTTTCACCAATGGGCGCCAGTTTCCATCGCGAAACTCTGTTAAATGTTATTCGTTTGTTATCGCGCGAAACGCTCATTAAATGCACGAGGGCCCTTTTGTTAATGCATCGGCGATGGAACGAAACAACGGAACGATTATCGCGAAAAAGTGTATTAATTCGAAGTAAATACTTAAACCTGAGGGAGAGAGAGAGAGAGAGAGAGAGAGAGAGAGAGAGAGAGAGAGAGAGAGAGAGAGAGAGAGAGAGAGAGAGAGAGAGAGAGAGAGAGTAGTAGTAGTAGTAGTAGTAGTAGTAGTAGTAGTAGTAGTA